ACACACAACACACACACACACACACATCAAGTCAAATCAGTGCCAATCAGCATTTCTGCACTGCAAGCTTCTGCCTGTCGCCATGACGCCCCAGCTGACTACTAGGCCGAATATGAGCATTGGGTAATTAAAGCCCCGCCCCCATCTCGACCACTGGGCCAACCGGCCGCGATTGATGGCGTCTGAAAGCGCAGCGAAGGTCACTAAAGCACAATCGATACGCTCAGAAACATCAGCTCCATCATAAAGTGTGACCTCCCCTCATCGACATGCGTGCAAAATGTCATTTAAATCAGAGAACAAGAAGAAAGTTTGCAGAATCGATCAATAAATAAATGCATCGATCAGCCTCCAATAACAGCTATTACACTGCTGTTTTAAATCAATCAATCAATAACAGATATTTCACAAAAGTAAGAATACGGTGAAGAAAGTGTATGTAGAGCACAAACATCTCCCACCAAAGTCCATTCAAACCTTCAGCATTAAGAAAATCTGCTACGTAGGGTTTTTTTATTTAAGGTTTTTAATATAATGATTGATTGATTTTTAAATAATGTGTAAATAATTTGAAGTATTATTTTTGTATAAATGAAACTTCCTGGTGATAAGATGACGTCTCAACTGGTTTAAGTTAACAACTACATTAAAACAAAGCAACAAATAAAATAAAAACTATACAAATTTAATGCAAGTAGGTTTCAGACATTATTTGTTCACCAACTTCCTGTTTGTGTGCAGGCTTTTATTTTGTAAACAGGTGAACCAACAGGTGATACTGGGAATCAGCTCGACGGCAGCACGATTGTAGCTCACACAATAAGATAAACATTTACATACACACCATAACGTATAGACAGGGGTGTGTCCAAAGACAAGCCAAAAGGTGCCCCTACCCCATATAAACCCATGATAACAACAACGATAATAATAATAATAATAATAATAGTAATGTTAGAAATAATAGTAATGATAAAGTCCCATTGCTGTTTCACGCTCGTGTGTCTTCTTCTCTGTCTCTAAATGGTAAATTATACTTATGTTGTGCTTTTCTACTCTACTACAGCGTCATTCACACACACACAAACACACACACATTTATATGAGCGCCTTTTTCTTCCCATAAACACGTTTAACATAACATCCACACATTGACACACATCGGGGCTACTCAGGGTTCAGCATCTTGCTCAACAGCCAGGAATCAAACCACCAACCTTCTTAGCTGACAACCCCACTTGAGCCATCTGTCACACATCTGACCGACACACTGCAGTTAAAGCGGACTCAAATTTAAACCCACAAACACACACACACAGTAAAAATATAAATACCCACTAACACAAACACACGCACGTACTCAGAGCTGCAGGCTGCTGCATCGTTCTGCTGGGTGATTAGAAAACTGATTAATTTGGGATAATGACGAGAAGAATACAAGGAGACAGTGTCTCACACACGCACACACACACAGACACACACACACACACACAGAGTGGAATAATTAAGAGGATAATAAGGCAGCGTTTAGTGTGGAAAGCTTCCTCCTGGGCCGACCGCACACACACACACACACACACACACACACACACACACACACACACACACACTGCAGCTCTTCTTCTCTTACAATTAAAAGTCTGCAGTGTTTCGCTCCTCTGAGGATTCGACTGTTTCCTGTGCTCGACACAGCGAGCCTCTGCTGCTGCTGCTGCACTGCCCCTGCAGGACACACTCAGCAATGACTGCCCACAGATGATGGATGAAGACTTGTGTCTGTTCCTTCTCTGGACATGCTGTCTCATCACACACAGACACACACACACGCTGCACTTTACAGGGACTTCATCTGCCACAGAAAGTAGTCCCCATAGATGAACTGCACTGAGCGTTAAACTATTTCAACCTGATTTGAAGAAGAAGCCGATGATACTTTCTTATATCCTTTACAACATTTTTGTCTGTTTTGAGTTTATTTATTAAAAATAAATGCAAAAGCATGAAATTAAGAGATGTAATAAATACTCTTAGTTCCCCTGAAATGAGGCGACGCTGCCTCTTTTTCAGCTTAACTTCTGTTTCCGTACAGAAAAGTTCATATATGAGCCAAAGATCTGCGGGAGATATGAAACAAGCAGGTTAAGAGGTGATCATGTCACCTGATGTGATGACTACAAGCTAAAAATTACATATGAAATGCCCTTAAATCAGGGGTGGGAAACTCCAGGCCTCGAGGGCCGGTGTCCCTACAGGTTTTAGATGTATCCTTGAACCAACACAGCTGATTTAAATGGCTAAATGAGCTCCTGCAGTTCTCCAGAGGCCTGGTAACGAACTAATCATGTGATTCAGGTGTGTTGACCCAAGGTGAGATCTAAAACCTGCAGGACACTGGCCCTTGGGGCCTGGAATTGCCCACCCCTGCCTTAAATCATTAGCAGGGCTTTTATTGTTAAAATCTGCATCCAGGATCAAAACAAAGCAATCAAACGCCTTATTTCGTCACATTCATTCCACCTCAAACCATCGTCAGGTTAGCTCTGGATTCAGCCTCATATCACAGCATGGTTGGTCACCTGTGGGCGGGTCAACACTGAAGAGAACGTCTCTGAAATCCAGAATCAGGAGTTTGAAAATGAAGTGTTTAACATCTGGGCTCCATCTCAGTACATGAAGTTTTCTGCACTAACATGCAGTCTATCTACCTCACCTTGACATATTTTTATTTCTGTGACTTTGATTGCTAAATGTCTGCTTCAGGCTTTGGTTAAGCTGTGAATCATTAAACAATCGTAAAGCGGACGACAGATTTCCCAGCTCTTCGTCGTCATCAGTCAGAGAGCAAACCTGTAACCCTGTAAACCGAGCCTGAGCGGCAGAATCTGATCAGACCCACTCAAAGTGAAACTCAGGTGGACGCGAAAGAAGCCAGAGGCCGTCAGAGTCGCTGCTAATTAACCGCTGAGTCCGTGTCATCCATTTCTCTCTCTAATTACAGCCGTTAACCCCGCGCCTGCCGACCGGTCGCCCGCCCGCCGCTTCATTAACGTCTCTGCTGCCTCTCTTCTTATTAATGTGCTCTCAGAGTGTGAAAAATGAGCCGCAGGGTTTACCATTTGCAATAAGAGAGAGAGAAAAAAAACTTTTCTCCTGAAACCTTTCTGCCGCTTTTTGTTTGCTCCTGTTGATGATTCAGCTTCACAGATTTGTGTCTTTCTGTCCTAAAACTGTTGCATTCAGAGCGATCAAACATTTGAAAATGCTCCTGTTGAATGTCTGAAAGAGGTTCAGCACTGCAGTCACACAGCACAAAGCAGGATGGGTAAAAGAGTAGCAGCTAAAGGCCTTCATCACTCACTGGTGATGTCAGAAAGCCAAACAAACGATCATCTGGGTGATTCAGTCCAATCAACCAAAGACTTCTCAGTCTTAGGCAGGCCTAAGATTTCTGTTTGGTAAAGGTCCACTCTACTACTGCTGCTGCTGGGACGTAACACAAGCAGTGGTGAAACATAACTGGGTACGCATACTCATGTTGTAGGGCCAAGTTCACAGTTTGGTAAATCTTTGTTGGTGCAGCAGAAATAAATTATGACGTCTTTAGACACTTTCACACATGAACTGGTGGTTTCCAGAAATCCTGTCTCGATGCATCCTCACACTGGAAATAGAAATGAACGTGTTACATGTGGAGAGCGTGCAGGAGGCAGGACAAAAAGCTGAAACCACAGGTGCAGGTGGTTTTTCAAAAACAGCCCTCTTGGCTCCTGCCTGGAACGTCCATTATCAAATGATGTAAGACAACTTCACAAACCCAGAACTGAAACTCAGTAATGAGATGATCATAAGTCTGGACCTCCATAGCGAGGAAGTCTCGTGCCAGGTGGCTTGAGGTGAATTCATGAACCCAGACGTGAAGCACGGCAGAGGTGACCTCTGCCGTGCTTCACGTCTGGGTTCATAAGGCTTCAGTCCAAGGAAGTCCCAAACCATATCAAACATCCAGCAAAAATCAACTCGGGAAGAATTCATGGACACAAAAATTAAATGTGGATGAAGGAGCATCACAAATTTGGGCTTTCAGATCCAATGAATCACCAAGAAATTGCCTCAGACAAAATCACAAACACAAAGAAAATCACGGTCAGGACTCGCATCACAGTTTGGGCCCAGAAAGTCTAATACTCAACCAAACATGTAGCACCAAACGACTTAAGATGGTGGAGGTGGCATCCTAAGTTTGGGCCTTCAGACGCAATGAACCTATGAACCAATACGTGAAGAATGGCCGAGGCAACACTGTAAACTGGGGGCTTCAAACCAAGGAAGACGCCAAACATCAGGGGATATACTTCACAAACCTAAAGCTCAGTTACATTGAGGTTTGAGGCTTCTAATTGGGACTTAACTAAAGATACGTCACTTTTTATGGCTTCTTCCCAGTAACTACACCACAGAATGACTTTGAACAGGGGAAATCCACCCTCAGAAATCACAGGTTGCTCTTGTTCAGTAAAGGTTGTTAAACTGTTTGTCAGTTACGTACCTAAACACACTGTGTCTTTGTGTCACTGTGACTTAGACACAGATCAGATCACATATTTATTCACTCATTTAATGCAGATGTGCATGCAGTGTCTGGGTCAGTCAGGACCTTGACGGCTCCGGACACTCTCCTGCTCCTCCTCTTTGTCCTTCCTCCCGCTGTAATGTCTGATTCTTTTATTAATCCGTTGGGGAATTGTCTCTTTTTGTAGCCCCCACCTTCCTCCCCCGCTATGATGAAACTTAATTGCTGTTCGGTTTGAGCTAAATAGCTGAGCGGGTCCATTTAAGTCTTAATTGATGTGTGATTAAGAGCGTTCGAATGGCTCCGGCCGGGACGTTGGAGGAGGAGGAGGGAGTGTGCCGGGGAGGAATGTCACCTTCCCAGAGGACTGGACTCTGGTTTCCCGGTCGTGTTGGACACTTTTCCCTGACAGATGGCTGCTTACCATCCTGGAAGACTCGCTCCACGTTGAGGCCGTAGGTGGCGCAGGTTTCATAGTAGGTGCATCGTTTGAGGTCGTTGGAGAGCTTCCTGGCCCGGGTATCGTCGATCACCCTCGGGTTGGTCGAGCTGATGGCGTCTGAGAGGGAAATGACAAAGAAAGAGCTTGAGTCTAACTTTAAATCCACATTTTACAGTAAAAGAAAGAAACTCAAAGGCACCAATCTATTTTATTCAGGCGTTTACCCTAATGTAGGTATATAAGGTGTCATAAATATAATAAAAGCCGTAAGACTGACTCAGTCATGTATTTTATTAGATTTCTGGCCTGTAGAATCAGAAGGAACGCCTCCACATCAGCGCTGTGGCTCATGAAGGTGAAAAGAAACAAGAGCCCAGACTTTAACTAGGAAAACTTCAGCAGTACTCTGGCGCCATCTGCTGGTTATGAGAGTAATAAGCACGTTTGGATTAAGCTACTTCCAAGTGCAACAAAATAGGTAGTAACAACAGCTCTAGAGAGGACCGGCTCATGCAAAAATCTGCCAAATAACATCTATTAGTAATATTTGTAATTATTTATACGAGAGTATTTCACTTTAAGGAATGAACGCCTCCATGAACAACACTAGAATTACTTTAAAATGACTCAGATGTCACTGGAGGTGACATGAAGAACCTGTCCTGTGTTTAAAGACGTTTCCTCCTGTTTTAATGTTTGAGGGACCACATGTGTCAAAGTAATTGCTCCTGTTATCACTGTACCTGCCTCTGTTTTATTTAACCTATCTGCTAAAGAATGTAGAACCAACTCTTAGATGTGCTGGCTGTTAAACTCAACATGGGTTCATGTTGGTTTTTTCAGGTGAACACCAGGAAAAAAGGATGACAGAGGCAGGCAGATGTTATACAGGTAACTTTAACTGCGGCTGGAAATGAATATCAGAATGTGGAAGCGGCGTCCTGAGATGATTTCAGTGATTACACAAACACTGGGTCTTTATTGTTGCTCGTTTGTGGAGAATATTTGTGCTCTCTGGTGTTTCTCTCCGCCTGCAGCTTACAGGGACAAACTCAGTGAGACTGTAAATACATTCATACATACAAGATTTCAGCTCAGTAACAGCACAGCAGGACTCTGCTTCAAGAGTCAAGAGTCGTCAACACAGCTAGGCTTTCATTGTTTTTTGGCTGACTCAACAAAACCTAAAACCCCAGCAGGAGATAACAGGTATCATGCTGGTGGTTTTCATCTTTCTTTGCTACCTGCTTCAGGCTCTCTTCCTCAGAAAATCATCCCTATGAGTGCCCCTACACCAATCAGACATGTTAAAACTAGAGATGGACCGATCCGATATTACGTATCGTATCGGTCTGATACTGACCTAAATTACTGGATCAGATATCGGAGAGAAATAAAAAATGTAATCCGATCCAAAGTATCACAAAATCACCTCACAAAACACGCTACTTGGCATAACCCAGCTCAGCGCATCGGAGCAGTATGTGTCACGTGATAGAGCGGCTGTTGTCTGCGAGACCTGTCGGTGGTCTGTTGGAGCATTTGCAGCCTCGCTACATGCTTCCTAACCGCGGCATTTCATCTCGGCGAAAACTATCCCAGAGAAGTAAAACAAGTGGGAAGCGATTTGTCTCGTACTTCAGTTAGAATTAAAAAGTAGACACAAAGCTGGAGTTATTCTGTCTTTGCTGCGCAGTTGCATCCACTTCTCTCATTCACTCCCCCTCCCTCTCCTGTTATTACTTCAAACATGAAACTGATCAATGATCAGCTGATCAGCTTTTCTGTCGCAAGTCCCGTCTTTCTTGTTTGTTTATCGCCCACTTTGCGCTAGAAAGAGGACACCAGCGGATAAACAACAGCAGCACGTTTAAGCTTGATGAGCTGTTGTTAGAATGTATTTAATGCTACTTTCTAGTTTCAGCTGATGTTTGCTGGAGCCACAGCTGTAAAGCTGCTGGTCATGATATGTGTTTGAATATGTGATGAGAGGGAAACATGAAGATGAAACCAGGAGATGTCCTTACTGAATCATCAGAGCTGAACAGGTGATGGAGAAACAGGTTTACCTTTTAGGTGACATGAATGAGTTGAAGGGAAGTTATGAACTGTTTCTGAGAGACAAATAACACCAGGATCCTTTTCTATGCAGCTGACAGCTGGTAACTGTGCAGGGGCGGCTCTAGCAAAGTTTTGTCGGGGGCCAGGTAGGACATTAACAGGGAAAGGGGGCACAAAGAAATATTTTTCTTTGTTATGTCATTTAAAAACTTTGAATAAATAATTATCTGAATCTTACAACAAAAGTGGTCACCTGATTAAATGTATAGAAATCCATTATTGCATATAGTAACTAATAAGTCTAATACACACCCTAGTAAGCTATAGTACTTTTTCCTTTGGGAAGACACCATCTGTGCAGTCTGTAATTCTGTTGAAGAAAGATGTTGAATCTATTTAATTATTGTAGAAAAATAATTGATTTCTGTGCATTTGTTTTACACATGCATTAAATTAAAGGTGATTATTAAGGGCGGACGTTGGTTCCCTAATATTTTTGCTGGGAGTTGGCAACCCTATTAGCTAGGTAGGTAAGTACTCTATAAAAGCCAGAATAGGGAGGATGGTGTAGGTTTGAATTTATTAGATTGATCAGTGTTGCTGAACTATAAAATGTTTTGGGTGCAGTGTATTTTTTGCATACAGGTATAACAGAATAGCTTCAGTCTCTTGTTTTTTAAAACTTGAGTATAAACTTATACAAAATGCAGCAAGATATTTATAAAAAAAACTGTTTTATTCATTACAAAATGCGCTATATCGGATTCATAACGGTATCGGCAGATATCCAAATTTATGATATCGGAATCGGTATCGTGCCATCTCTAGTTAAAACACATTCTTCCAGCAGAGAACTTATCAAGTTTATTAAAATCATGCTGTAAATAAAAATGTGCTGCTTCCAGATTATTTTAAACCCAAACATAAAATCACCAGGTCAGGAGCAGCATCAGTTACCATGGTGAGCTTTGACTCAACTGTTTATTAATCAGATCATTACTTTATTGGATTAACTGATCCATTAAGAGTAAAACAAATGAAAATGCTGCCTTAAAATGTCCAAACAGAGGAATAACTTTCAGTTCAGACTGATAATAAAGACAAAACTGTAACGACAAAGAATTATTCATGTCCTTTGATGCGCGGATTGGCCAGCGTTCAGCCTAAACACTCTACAAATCTACTGATGTTTTCCTGCTGTGTCTTCTCAGTTTTATGGTTCCTATATCTGGATCTATGTAGAATAACGGCAGTTTGCAGGGCAGACATTTTTTCTAATACTTTTATGAGTGCATAAAATACAAATAAAGAAAAGGAGGAATAAACTTAAAATTAACAGCAGCCACAAAATGCTAATCAGAGGCAATGAAGTCAAGTTTACAGCTGCAATTAGGATTGTGCACCACTAGGTGGTAGCAAAGCTCTAGAAAAGCAGACTGTTCAGAGAGAAAGAGAGAGCTTCCTGCTAGGGACTAAAAATAAACCCCTTCAAGTAGAGTTTTAAACAATACAAAGATTTGGTGTCTATACAGAGGCTAGTGTGTGTGTGTGTGTGTGTGTGTGTGTGTGTGTGTGTGTGTGTGTGTGTGTGTGTGTAGTACCTTGTGTGCCGACAAGCACCAGCGGCAGGTCAGCGGTGTTCCTGTAGTTGGCGAGGCGGCTGAAGTAGTGATAAACAGTCTGAAAGCTGATCTCGTCCTCCAGACTGAAGACAAAGATGACTGCGTCCACCCATAACGCAAACTGCACACACACACACACACACACACACACACACACACACACACACACACACACACACATACACACACAAACAAGGTTGTAAATCCAAACTTTATTTAAAGCATAAAATCATTGTTTCTCACAAATATCAGCCTAACAAAAATGCCGGGCTCTCTGGGCTCACAGTGTTCTCACAGTCCAGTCAGAAGGAGGTGCAGTACCCACCTGTGCTTCCGGGGGCCTCCTTCATCTCTGATGAGCAGCAGGTGACTCTGACCGTCCACTACAATCTCCTTCTTAAAGCGCCCGCCTGCAGAAAAGACACACAGGTTACTAACAGCGATGCCAGCGGTGGGAGGAGGTCTGATCTACAGGGAGGTGGAGCCGATCATCGATTGATCCGGCTGATCGAGTGTGAGATGATGAACGCTACACAGGAGGGAGGTGATTGGACAGGAAAGTAAACTAATACATATGGGGGGATGACGGAGATAACCAGCAGCTGAGAGCGAAAAACACTAAGGGTTAAAAAAAAAAAAAAAAAAAAAAAACACAAAACGGGGTAAGCCATCTTTATGTACAGTCTGTGGCTGTGACCACATTTAAGCAATACGGAAGCCTCTCAGTGCCTTACACTGCTCTAAAAACCAGCTTCAAACAGGGTCAAAAATCCAGGGGGCAGAAGGAGGAGCTTCCTGCTCCCACCTGATGTTCTGCTGTAACAGGTGCCTGCAGATGACTGAGGACCTGGAACATCTCATCAGGAGCACTGATGATCCGACAGCTTCTGCCTCTTTCTACCGTGAACTCGTGCATTTTGTTGTGCTCTGACCGTTCATCTCCGAGCTTGCTGTTGCTTTAAGAAACTCCACTCTGACACAAATATAAACAGCAGTGTGGCAAGTCACTGTGGGAACGAGCGTCTCTTCCTCAGCATTTACAGGAAGTCACCGGTGTTATTTCGGGCTCTCTCTCTCTCTCTCTCTCTCAGCTGGATCAGCTGATCTTGGGATGGCGTGGCCGAGCTAGCGCAGCTGCAGTAATAACACAGTAGATGTTTAGAGAGCGGCGAGCACAGGAAGTGGACATGTTTCCATCACTTGCCCTTTTCTTTACCCTGACGTTAAATATTTGCGTCAAGAGGAGCTGATTTTTGTGAGAGGGGCTGCCTTTCACAATAAAAGCCCTCAAAGCTTCTGAGGAGTGCATCAGCACAACTTATGACAGTGGATGTCGATCTTTTATTTACAGTGTGTGTGTCTGTGGTCATTCTGCGATGAGTCCAGCTTGATAAACTGATTAATACCTTAACATGTAACTAATGTCTTCACTGATCAATACAGCCATCTAGTCATCTTACTTCTGCACCATTATAGGAACAAACGTACGAAACAGGATCATAAACACAGCTGACTGATCCCCACATGCAATTAAAGTCTCCAGTGTTACGATTTTCTCTTTAATCGGTTAATAGAATCACTTATTGATTCTTTAAAGACAAATAAAAAGTCATAAGTTCATCCTTTGGAGTTTAAACAGGCAGAAAAAGGAAAGTGAACACGGATTTATTACTAAACATGAAAAATGGTTCACTAGTGATCTGAAATTAATCTAAGATCGTTCACCTTTTTTGATCAAGATGGAAGAAAATCAGTGAAGCAGGTGAACATGATGAGGATGGAGACGAGAAAAAATATGATTAGATAATGAGGGGGCGGAGCTACACATTCAGTCGCAGCAGCCAATCGAGTTCAGCTTCAGGTTCAGCAGCTGGAAGCATTAAATAATCCAGATGTTTCAAATCTGACTTGATGAAATTATTTGTACAAACATGTAAAAAAACAAAAAACAAAAATGAACGATGAAGCAGTTAAATCCCTGGAGACGTGCAGCGTGATGTTTGGCGGTTGTTTGATGACGCGGAGATGAGACGCGGTGCTGAACCCGAGCTGATCTCAACGTGCTGCTGTCTGAACCAATGAGGCGATGGATCGAAGGATAGAGGGATGGACAGGTGAAGGAGAGAGGAAGGATAGTTACCTGCATCCACGTCAGCTATTGTACAAGATCAGCCCCGAAGGAAGAAAGAGAGGAAACAAAAAGCAAAACAACAGCCACAGTTAATGCATGCACAGTCCAATCAGGAGACAGCGAGGAAGGTGTTTGAGAGAGGTTCAAAGAGAGGACACGAGAGAGAAGAAGAAGTAGAAAGAGCAGTAAAGAACAGTACACAGTTTCATTTGCAGTCAGCTGGAGGTCAAAGCAGTGAATAAACAAACACGTAAACACGAGAAAAGCTCTGAGAGGAAGAGGAGGACAGAGGTGAGAGGAAGGATGGACCGCTTTCCTTCATGAGTTTGGGTTCATTTATGTCACTGTCACCACCTCGTTACTGCAGATTTATACAAAGACGCTGAGTCATTAGACATTGCTGAGGTCACATTAATCACTTTCAGCAAACTTGGAGCTGAACGAAGACGTTTGGATTTCTTTGCCATTCTGTAACATGCTGAACGTGTTTTCTCTGTATGAGTAATGATGTGGAAGAGCCAGCGGAGTACAAAGCTTTAACATGCTGCCCCGCCCCAGCATTACACTAAAGATACCTAATGGCAGCAGGAAATCAACCTTAGACTGTTTTCATTATCAACTATGTTTTGGGACCATTTCAGAGTTTTTTCTTTATGTTTTTTCCTAAATGTTTTGCATCTGGACTGTTTCAGATTTACAGTTTACTTAGTTTTCAGTTGTTTGAACTCGACTGTATTTAGAAAGTTTGACTTTCTGAGTTGTGGTTTTGGTGAGTAGATTTTTATTATTTATGTTTTTAAAAAAAAAAAAAAAAAAAAGCTTTTCTGGCTTGACTTTAAGCTGCTTTTAGACTCATTTAAAAACCGACTTCATTCTACATTTTGATTATGGACTATTCAGGGACATGGTTTGGAAGATTTTGGACTTAGTCCTCTGATTTGGGTCTGTGTTGAACTGTTTAGACTTACTGGGGACTTAGTTTGTGCTGTTTGAGTTATTTGGAACTTGATTTAAGACTTTGATTTGGACTGTGGGTTGAAATATTATTAAATTAGTTTGAGGCCCTTTAAAACTTGCACTTGGATTTGAAATTTTCTGGGAGGTGGCTTTGCAGCATTGAACTTGATTTGTGACTTACAATCATCTGGTTTTGAATTGTTTTAGACTTACTGGAGATTTAGATTTGGGCTGTTTCAGTTACTACGGGACTTTATTCAAGACTTTGATTTTGGACTCTTTAAGAACTTGATTGGAATCATTTGGACTGTTTTAAATTGACTTTGACTTCGTTTTGTTGTAAATTTGGACATTTTCAGTTTGGGATTCTGATTTAGTGATCTGGTTTTTGGACTTACTTTTGTGGTGTTTAACCTTGGGACTTGATTCAAGACTGATTTTTAACTCTTTAGGGGTTTGGATGATTCTGAACTGGGTTTTGGTTTGACTTAAACTTAATCGGGACTTAGTAAGTTTTGGATTCAATTTTGGAATAAGTTTAGGACTTCTTGTAAATTTTTTAGGTTCAGATTTGGAAATTTTGGGAGGTGATTTAATCTTTGCCTTGTGTGGTGGCCACCATACTCACCTGTCACTGCTTAGATTCCAGTCGGAGACACTAATCCCGTTTGAGATTGCGTCAGGAAAGTTGCCCAGCATAACAATCTGCCAAATTAAACATGCAGAGCGACCCACTGTGGTGACCCCTTGTGGCAAGAGAAAAGTTTTTATGGGCAGGATTAAATCTGAGGTTTTTAAATACACGTGTGTCTTCTATGACTCCTTGATGCTGAGACTCTGTTGACTTCTTGTAGCCGCAGATTGTTTTTCGTGACTGGATGTTCAGAGCTGTACTCCTGCTCCTTCTGGTACGATCACTGAAGAATAAAAATAATGAACTAAACTTTTGGGGTGTCATCTTCTTTTCTGACAAATCGCAGACTGAACCAAAGCTTGCCTCTCCACATGTCTGTGTAAACCTGACAAAAATAATAATAGAGTAATAAAATAAAACTTAATGACTGTTCTGGAAAGATTGGACTGGAGACTTTGTTGATGCCTCCCAGCGTTTCTTTTTCCGTTAAAGCCACAAGAACAATAGAATCTGTGAATGATGTTTGGCTGCTTGTGAGAGCGGCAGCTCCTCAAACCACAGTCAGCAGCATTAGTTTGGTGGCTGTGGGTGATTTCCCAACCATAGCTCCCCTCTCTCTCCCTGTTGTAATGGATCCCATGTGCTGCTGTACAAACAGTCTCAGTCGGACTTTTTCTCAAACTATCAGTGCTGCTTCTGCAGGATTTCACTCTCTGCAAAGTGTCAGAGTCTTTAGAAATAGAAATAAATCTGGGCATTTCTGACAGTCCTTAAACGCACCACAGAGGTAAATCTGGGCAACCTGCATGTTTTTGAGTCAGCGATGAAGCTTTTTTTCCCTCTGCAGCAGCGAGGCTCCAGCCTGCAGCCTCAGAATAGTTCTGGTCGGTGGCTTCATGGCGCTGCGGTCGCCTCGCCGCTCGCAAGCCACCAACTCCGCTCCCAATCAATCGCCATGGGAATCCAGGCAGCCGGGTATTTTTAGATCCGAGGAATTTCAAAACAGCTTTCCCCTTGGGCTGCTTTTATTTCTCTGTGGTTATGCAACGATTTCAGAAAAGCTTTTTATCTCCTTTTTTTATTTAATTGGACTTGAATCGCCGCTTCCTCGACGGGCAGTGGTGCCAAGTAATTCGATAAGAGATAAGGGGGAGCCGTTGTTTGAATGTGGTATGTGGACCTGCTCGAAAAGCCGTGTCGTGTTGCTTTTGGCAGCGCTGCAGTGTAATTAAGGCGGGAGGCCGCCGGGCATTTAGCAGCACGACACTGAGGAGAACGTCACCACCGTGGAAGACTTTCTCATGTTTTAGCGTGAAGTTATCTGCTCTGGGATTCCCCATCGCCACCAACTCTCTTCCCAGCTGTCTTTGCTCTGCTTGTAGTTTTTTTCTTTTTGTGCTTTAATGTAGTCCCTGGGGTCCCCTCTTATCAGCTGACCTTTGATCGACCTCTCTGCAGGCGTATTAAATTAAAAAAAATAAACCTCCTCCTCTTCCTGCCTCCCACACTTCGAAGTCTCTCCGCAGAGGGACCAGCAGCTAAAATTGGTCTGCGGGCTGATTTCGGGGTGGGTCCCCACATAACAACATAACAAAAGCAGCAAAGGTTTCTTCTCAAATAAACCATGTTTGATGGTTTTCAAGGCTTTAAATACACAAAGAGGTCGGCAGGGGGTAATTAGCTGCAGCTCCACAGCGGACCCTCAAAAGTAGCCAAAGTACTTCTTTGACTCTGTTCCGTCTGAAGACTTCTGGCTGCAGCATTTTTAATTAGACTGAAAAATTCAAAACGTTCTGCAGAGGTTTTAAAGTAACGGAGTTTCATCTGATCAGCCAACTTAAAGCTTTTAATGTGAAAGGACAGCAAAAAGAAGGGTATTGAGCACTAACGCAACTAAAACCAAAAACAAGGAAATAGTGAAGAAAATAAAACTTTCTTTAAAAATATGTTAACGTTACTGAGCATAGACACGAGTTTTGAAAATATTTATTGAAATATATTAGACTGATTTTTACTGCTTTTAGACTTTGTTTTGGGGTGTTCGGGACTTATTTTGGGTTCATTAAATTGGACCATGTAAGAACTGATTTCAGACGGAGTTTGGTCATCATTTTAGACGTTTTTAGAGTAATTTGATATTGATATTTGATATACAAATTGATGTCAACGAATTTGGGCCTAATTGTAGACTTGTGTTTGGATTGTGGTTCTGACCTGATTTTGCCATTTTTTGTTAATTTTGGAAAATGGTTTTGGACTAAAATGTACAGTGAAAAGATTAAGAACAAAAAACCCAAAAAACATTTACAACAATAAAACGTTCAGGCAATCATGGTAAGTAAAAGCAACAAAGAAGAAATTAAACAATAAAGATCTTGTTTTAAATTCTTTTGTGTTTGTTTGGGGACTTTATGGACCTGGTCTGGGTTATTTAGAGTTTATTTTGGACTTTAATTTATATATTTACTAGTTTTAGACTGTTTTCAGACTTGATTTGAAGCTGTTATAAACTTTTGATTTTGATTTAACTATTGGATTTTCATCCTTTGCATATTCTTCTTTTAGCTCTTTTAAAAACTTTTTAAAAACTTGGTGTCAGGCTTCATAAATATATATTTTTAGTTATGCACGAAGGACCAAAACTGCCAAATTAAAAAAGAAATAAAAACACTGATGATAAAAATAAATAACTTGCAAAATAAATATAAAGATGAGTAAACATAAAAGCAGCTGCAAGATGAATTTAAAAGTTCTAAACGTAATGACGTACTTATGTATAAATAAAGACAGATAAATTTAAAAAAAAAGGAAAACAGAAAAAAATAATACATAAGAAAAAAAACCATTTATGTCTCATGTGAAAGACGGCAATCATTTTTAATATTTTTATAGGTGCATTTAATGGCATAATTGTGTTATTGGCTTGCTTATTTTGGCAAGTTTGGTCCTCCATACATGCCATTGATTTCTTTATACAGGCAGAGGTATCGCCCCTGTTAGTTATCAGAAAGATGCAGTTTTTTTGTTTTTTTCTGAGGGAATAAAGAAGCTTTTTTGCTTCAACTAAACAACTCGAGCTTAAAGCTCCTCACCAGTGGTTTGAACTGTGAGTTCGGTGCACCACCTCTCTGGACAGTAGAAGGATGAATGAATGAAAAGTAAAAGCGCTGCAGCGTCTGTCGGTGTGATTGATAAGGAAAGTGAGCAGAAAGTGCCTTGGCTGTGCGTGCAGGATCCCTGAGAGGAAACAGCTCATGTGCTGAAATATTAAAGCGGGTTTCGTAAAGTGGGTCTGTGCCTGAGGACCCTGCCGTCCTGTACAGTAACAGTGTGTGTGGGGCAGCTTTAATATTACATGAGGAATATGGCCGTCCTGCAGGGCGTGTGAGTTGAGACACCGGAGGAAAGTAGGGCTTCATCTTTTCTCTGAGACAAAAAGTCATCTTTAAAGTTTCATAAGTGATTCTGGGTCAGCCAGCAGAGAAGTTTAACCTTTTGGGTGTTCACTGTTTCTCAGATATTAAGCAACTGAGCGCGATGTTATGCTTAAATCACTTCTTCTTCACTTTTTAAATCCACGCTCACACCCCAAAGAGGTCAAATTTGTTGGTTTTTCAGTAAGCAGAACAAATATCTAATAAAAGTTTGACTTTTTAATGTCACTTTCTGCTGTTTTCATCTCACTCAGTATTCATTTTCAGTCACTCATTGCTTATATTGATATATTTTCCCTCTAACAGGCTGACAGATCGGCATTAAACCAGCAGATCTGATCATTTAAAGCCTCCTGCGGTGATTCAGCTCCATCTCAAACTCTACAAATGTTTATTTGAACCCAAAAAAACCCACTTCAGCTTCTCCCAAAGTGGAGTGAAATCTCTTTTTAATGCGACTTGGAAAGCTTCTGAGCCTGACTGAGGAGCTTTTTTCGCTCTGCTGGTTAGACTTGTGCTGTAAGGAGGTCGTTAAATGACGTTTAATCCGCTCATTATTTTCTCCTCTGTGTTTTAGACTGATTCAGTCTGAGAAGGCGGACGACTGCTCTGCCATTTTATTAGAAGAAGAAGAAGAAGAAATAGCTGGTCCAGCCAAACAAAGACAGACATGCTATGATGTTCTTACCCTCTGGTGACTCCTCCTGGACATACGTTCCCGTCAGGTATCTGTGGACCAGCGCTGACTTACCACTGGCCAGATTACCACAATGCCCTGAGGGGAGACAGAAGGGAAGTTAGCATCTCCTAAAACATTCAGCAGACTGTAATCACTCCATCAACAGGAACTCATACTGGTTTTAAAAGTTTTCTAGTGTTGCTGGTGAAGATGATATAATTCAAGCACATGGAGCTGTTACTGCTTCTGTGAGTGGACAAACAAATGCTTCAGCAGAAATGAAATATGAATCATAGTTACTCGCAATTTTTTATTTGTTAGGCCCATAATAATCTCAACTTAAATTTTAGTTAAATGAAAATATTGATATTTACTCTTAAAATATTTATACATTATGTGAATATTTAACTTTATCTTGAAATTTAATATTGTGCTATAAAGCTTTTTTTTTAGTCCCCAAGTTATATCATAATTTTGACATTTTAGACATAAAATGTAATATTTTACTTTTATCTCTGAGCTTAATATTTTGGTCTTATAGTTTTTATACTTAACGTAAATATTTGACTTTATTTTAACATTTTGCTTTTAAAGTTTGCTTCTCATGGTTGTGATGTATTGTTTTAATTTTGATGTTATAATCTCACAACTTTGACATTTTACTTTCATAATTTTGACATGACCTCATAGTTAATCTCATCTAATCATTTTTACTTTGAATTACATTTTCAACATGTTTTTAAACTTTTATCTCAAAACATTTAACTTATGAAATTTAATCTCACAATTTTAACATCTATCATTTATTTTATTTTATTTTATTTAATCTTCAAAGTTAAAATGATCAAAATTGTACATCTGTTTGGTTATCTTCGTGTATTCACTTCTTGTAGTGTCCTAAAGCCTGCAAGTCAGGAATCGTGAGACAGAAGTCCAGGTTGGGTTTTTAGAAGTAACTAAATCTTCAAAATAAATACTTAGAGCACCTTTACATTGAGTTGCTCCCCTGAACAGCAGCCAATCTCGACATTTAAAAAATAAATCTCTTTAATGTTTCTGTTTGTTGTTTGTTTGTTGGGATTTTTGTTAAGTTTTGGCAGGAAATGATCTCCATAGTGGTATGCCATCCCGCTGAAGCTTGACTCTTGGACAGGTGACCCCCTCCCCTTTAACGCTCTGAACTCACCACTTTGAGCTCGGGCACCGTCCGACTCAGCGTCCACTCCTGACTGTTTACAAACGCATCTGGAAGACACAAAGAAAGGAAAAACACACATTATTAAACTGTGAGGAACATGTGATGCCTTCAGGGAAAAAATGGAATTAAAAATGCCTGATGGAGTAACGAGGCAGCCAATCAGCTCCTCCTCAGTGGTGTCAAGGGTGACAAAGAGGAAGAAGAGGCTTGTTAAGGGTGACAAAGAGGAAGAAGAGGCTTGTTAAAGCTGACAGACGACCAACACCAGGCCAAAAGTCACAGCAGACTGAACACGATAACAGGACACGATCAGAAATACCGTCATGGTACAGAAGAACCATGAAGAACCACAGCTGAGAAAATACAAAGGTTAAAAGCAACCAAAAAATAACACTATATAAAACGTACAAGTCCATTAAGAGGGAGATCAACTTACATTAATCTATATGTTCTTTAAGCACTTTAATCTTAGAATCAATCAATCAAATGTTAGAATCAGGAAATAAAGACAAAATCAGTAGATGAGAAAATATTTGTATTCTAAATTCTTCTAAAGGTTCCCCACAAATTAACTCCTGCAACCATCTGAGGTGCCGAGTGTCAGAGGTCATGGGAAATGAGGAGGGCGGAGGCCAAATGATGTCAAACCACACACACACACTTGCACTGTGTGTGCGTGTGTGCGTGTGTGTGTGTGTGTGTGTGTGTTATTGGAGTGCGATAATGTTGGTATTATCAGGGAGGTCGTTTCCACTCACACTGCAGAGACGGCTCTCTAACAAAAACACTCTGTGGTTTTAAAAACACACACACACTTCAAACAGGACAAAACACCAGCAGTGAGAAAACACAGGCCCGTGGACCAAATCTGGGCCCTCCCTACTGAAAGAATGTGGCCTCTTACAGAGAGCTGGGTTTGTTTGTTTCTACAGTCAGCTAAAAACCGTACAGTAAAGGTACTCTAACACACCTTTAAAGTATTCAATATGGAGCTGTAGTTCTTTAAGTTCTGTTATCAAGTAAATAGAAAATGTTTCAAAGCCTCAAACAAACTTTACTGGATAAGATACAACAAATAAAATCAAAATATTTAAAGTCACATTTCAACTCATATTGAAATCACAAAATTGGGACATTTTAATTTCATCTATATTGAAACTTAGTCATAATTGGCATTTCAATCTAAAAATATTTCTATTTATACAACTTAATTTCAATACTTTGACATTAACATGTCTGTGGTCACATATGGGGAATCTCTTCAGTCTGCATAGAGATGTGCGACCTTTAACCTCTGAGTTTATCATTAAAGAAGCTGTATTTCAGTAACTGCTGATGAACGCCTTTCATAAAAAAGAAAACGTGAGGCGTCCAGATGTTTTCTGTAGCCGTCATCCCACCGCAGGCTCCTTTAAAACTGCTGGACTCTGAGACACCTCGGGCTTGCCGTTAAGTAGGCCAGTGGGCCAGAGCCACTTAGAGCCTCCAGCCCCTCTTTACTAATTCATCTGCAGCAATCTGTGTCAGCCTGCAGACCCTCAGACTACACAGTACTGACAGGAAGTGCTAAAAGCCCCATGAAACACTGGTTTTCTAACGCATTGATACCTGAGACTCACACTGACAGTTTTCGTGCAGAGTGTGCGATGCTCCCTATGGAGGAAAAAGACTGACAGAAAACTAATAAATATCTCAATAAATTTATTTTCTTTTGATTCAGCTGGTTTCTGATGTTTTAATGTAGTTTCTTTTTACATTTTTGTCTCAATTCTGAATTTTAACCTCCTAGGACCTGGCATCCTCCTAGGCCACCTGGCATCCTCCTAGGGCCTTCAAATCCAGAGACAAAGAGGAGTTGAAAAGGGTGCAGAGAGAGCTGAGGGCACTGATAAGGAATGGGAAGGAGAGCTACAGGCAGAAGATGGAGAACCAGCTTCAACAAAACAACGTTGGTGAAGTCTGGAGAGGCCTCAGAACCATCTCGGGCCACAAACAGCAGAACTCTCTGCCTGGGAGGGATGTGAGATGGGCAAATGAACTGAATCATTTCTTCAACAGATTTGATTCAGCCATGAGGCAGTCTGCAACATCGGCTGCAGACTCACCCACCCCACTGCTGCTGTTCCACCTCAGACACTTCACACCTCCTCTATTCACCCTGCTCACTCCCCCCACCCCCAACACAGCATCCAATACACACTCAACACAAGGCTCCAGCCTGTCTCTCTCAACCACCCAGGTTAGGAGGGAACTGAGGAGGATTAATGGCAAGAAGGCAGCGGGTCCAGATGGCATCAGCTCGAGGGTCGTCAGGTCCTGCGCGGACCAACTGTGTGGGGTGATGGAGCACCTCTTCAACCTGAGCCTGAGGTTGGGAAGAGTCCACAGCTCTGGAAAACCTCCTGTGTTGTACCAGTGCCAAAGACTTCACGCCCCAAGGACCTCAACAGCTACAGGCCGGTGGCTCTGACATCCCACCTGATGAAGACCCTGGAGCGGTTGGTCCTGGCTCAGCTTCGGCGCCTAATAAGCTCATCACTGGACCCACTTCAGTTTGCCTACCAGCCTGGCATTGGAGCGGATGATGCCGTCATTCACCTCCTACATCGTTCCCTCGCTCACCTGGAGACCGCTGGAAGCACTGTGAGAATCATGTTCTTTGATTCTCTAGTGCCTTCAACACCATTCTTCCCTCGGTTCTAAAGGACAAGCTGGTGAACTCTGGAGTGGACCATCACCTCACTACCTGGATCCTGGACTACCTCACCGACCGACCACAGTATGTGAGGACTCAGGGCTGTGTGTCGGACAGGGTCGTCTGCAGTACGGGGGCCCCACAGGGAACGGTTCTGGCTCCGTTCCTCTTCACCATCTACACTGCAGACTTCTCCCACAATTCCACCCAGTGCTCCTGCAGAAGTTCTCTGATGACTCTGCAATAGTCGGCCTCATCACTGATGGGGACGACAAGGAGTACAGAGGTCTGACCCAAGACTTTGTGGACTGGTGCCAGCTGAACTACCTCCAGATCAACGCCAGTAAAACCAAGGAGCTGGTGGTAGACTTCCGCAGGCACAAGCATTCTCCACTGCAACCACTGAACATCCAAGGTATGGACATTGAGGCTATGGACAGCTACAGGTACCTTGGTGTTCATCTGAACAATAGACTGGACTGGACTCATAACTCAGACGCCCTCTACAGGAAAGGGCAGAGCAGGCTGTACCTGCTGCGGAGACTCAGGTCGTTTGGCACTCCTGAAGACCTTCTATGACTCTGTTGTGGCTTCTGCTATCTTTTATGGCGTGGTCTGCTGGGGCGGCAGCATCTCTGCTGGGGACAGGAAGAGACTGAACAGGGTGATCCGAAGGGCCAGCTCTGTTCTAGGATGCCCTCTGGACCCAGTGGAGGTGGTGAGTGACAGGAGAATGGCGGCTAAGCTGTCATCCCTGTTGGACAACATCTCCCACCCCATGCAGCAGACTATGACAGCACTGAGCAGCTCCTTCAGTGGGAGACTGCGGCACCCACGGTGTGGGACGGAGAGATTTCGCAGGTCTTTCCTCCCCACTGCTGTCAGACTCCATAATAAAGACTAACTGATCAAGCACACACATCCATACATATGCAATAATACTAAGTGCAATAATCCTTTCTGTCATCGTTGTATTTTTACTCAGTTGTATATAGTATTTGTATTCTATTTTTATCTTATTGTATATTTATTTTATTTTATTCTACTGTATATAGTATTTTATTCTATTCTGTACAGCTGTGTACTGTATTTATTCTTATTGTATTCTAATTTTTGCCTCATAACTTTTGCACTGTCCACTTCCTGCTGTGACAAAACAAATTTCCCACGTGTGGGACTAATAAAGGTTATCTTA